ACAATTACGACAGATAAGTGAAATATTGGATAAACCTTTGTAATTGACAGCAATTGCAAAGGTAATTGTCTTTTTCTAATTACGAACAACAAGTGAATGTCCCAAACAAATCTATTGGCTGATTTACTTCAATTTTAGGCAAAGGGTCCCGCTCTGTGAGAGGACCCTGTGACGCCTTCTTTTAAGTAGTAAAAATCATAAATCGTCTTAATAAACGTCTCTGGAAATCAACATCTGCATCTCCCCTGCAACAGTGAGATGTAGCGCAGAAACTTTATTTAACTTTATTATTTACTGCATAAGCAAAACTTCAAACCTTGTATTTAGCAATGTCACTATGCAGGACTGAAAACACCACTGTGTTGAAAATGACTGATTTTTAGAGGATTCTAATTTCTCTTACTTTTAGGAGAGAAACGTTTTCAGATGGATTTTATTTATTTTTTATGCCGTTTCTAACTAATTACATTAGTTTTATAAATTTCAGTTGTATAGTGACTGCTGTTATATCAGCAGAAAAAGAAAATGCCCTTCAATGTTCAGTGCATTCCTAAACACAGATGGATGAAACCTTAAGTGTGGATGTGACTGAGTGGATGGAACCGATGGATTCATTAAGCCATCAAACCTCCATTCATTTCCCTTATAATGAGTTTCTCTAACTTAACGGCTTTTTACAGTGAAGTTCGACCAAGTTTCATGATGTTGTGTCATCAGGTCCAATACGTGGACTACGGTCTGGTTGAGAACATCCCAGTGGTTCATGTGTATCCCATGCTACTGTGCGTGGAGGTTCCTCAGCTCTGCATGCCCTGCCAGCTCTTTGGCATCAACCCTGTAAGAACGCCTCTCGTTTTGTTTTTTTGCTTTGTTGTGTTTCACTTTGTTTACTCCGGCCGTTTCACGTTTGGACCGTTAGGTCGGTGGGAAATGGCAACGGGACGGAGTGGCCTTGATGAGGGAGGTGTTACTGAACCGATCCGTGAACATGCAAGTTGTGGTAAAGTCACACTTTGGAATAATATGCAAAATATTATAATATCAACTTGTCTGAGGATACAATTGAAAAGGACTTTTTGTGATCCGTATTTGTTGTGCCTGCAAATCCCAATAGTATATTGCCTTAGTTGGGTAAACTTAGGGTATGTAGGCCTGCCACCATTACAATTTTTAGTGGCCGATAAATTGTTGTTTTGAGACCATTTTAAGTTTTTCTCTCTCAAACTTTTAATTTCATAAAGAACATTTAACCCTGGACCTGGAAGATATTTGAAATACCCCTAATAATAATAATAAATAAACCTGAAATAAAAACTACAAGGAACTGACTATGAAGTCTCTGTAAGCAAAGTCGCCCTTCACAAAATATGGATCATCTGAACGGACATTATTGAGCTTATTTTAATTGATTAAATTGCTCGTGGTGACAGGCTTCGTGTGATATCAGTCGCTGCGATTCTGACGCTCACAAAGGATGAATGATGAAGTAAAAGACGGCGAGAAAGAAAACGCGGAATATTTATAATATGACGTAATGGAAATATTGTGCCGTCCTCCCTGGCATCCTTTGTGGTGACGTTAGAGTCGCGTGTCAAATCCAGTGTGCGTTTATTCGCCAGGCGCTGCCGGCTGAGCCCCGGGGAGCCGTCACCGTGGAGATCTTCCTGGATGGGATGAGTCTCAGCAGGATTCTGTGTCACAACGAGCACGCCTCCATGGACGGCGCTCTCTCAACAAGAAAGGTCTTCCTCCATGATGCTTTGTGTTTTGATTTTTCGAAAGCAAACTTCACCTTCTGTTGCCTAGCGATATTTGTGCTGGTCTGCAGAGTGTGGCAGCGACGCCTACTGCCGCCCTGCTGGATGTCTGGGATATCAGCACTGAGGTTTGGACCTACAATTAACAACAACAGCTCCTTTAACTTGCCCTGGCTGTAGACTTATATAAGGTTTTGGGCAAATTATATCGCATAAAATTATTTGGTAGGATATGAAAAATCTTTTCTGTTCCGTTTGATTCCTTTCAGAGTCTATTGGGCCCGGAAGAGCCAGTGTTGGGGTCCTTTGTTAGCCCCAACCTGCCACTAGAGGGAGAACGCTTTGAAGTCAGGGTCACACATTTATGGACCCCCAATGAGGTTGTCTGCTAGCTTCACTGTCACATCAAAAGTGTAGGAATACCGAACATCTGGGGTCTTCAACTCTGGTGTTCTGTAACTTTTGGCTGCAACTCAGGTCCAACACAGCTCAATCAAATGGTTGAACCAGCTCCTCAGTAAGCTGTCATGATCATTTTACTCCGGCGTGTTGAAGAATAAAAGTTGCAGGACACCGGCCCTTTAATAAGAGTGCATACTTTTTAAAGAAATATGGTGGTTGTTGCTGATTAAAGCTGGTAAGTAGTTTGTTAAGAGTTTGACCTTCCTCGTCTTGCAGCTGTTCCTGTGGCCCCTGAAGGACACGGCTGGTTCAGAGATGATGGCCGATTCTCTGGACGATGCTTTGACTAGAATCAATGCAAACGTCACCTCTTTGCCACGACTGACCAGCTTTCCATATGGTAATGTTTCTCTAGAGTTCCCTACTTGTTTATGAGGAGGAATCAGAAGTTTCTTATCAGGCGTCTTTGTGGAGAAGCTTTTTCTTCTTGCCATCTTGAAATCATGGACTTCAATCATATTTGTATGTTAAGATCAAATATATTACCTTAGGGGTGTGCAACATGACTTTTCCCCCCAAACACTATAATTTTTATGTCATAAAAACGTCGGTCTTACTGAAAACGTGTAGAGCATTCAGCCCACTTCTGAAAGGCTCTGTTGTGGAAGGACCGACTTGTCATTTAATATTTATCTCCCTGCACGTTTTTGTGTGAAATTAGAGATTTAGAGAAATCAATAACGTCACCATTCAGGATACATGGTTATGGTTGATCACTAAAGATATTATTATACTTGTGGGACTAGTAGTATATTAAAAATGCTTTTTTTTTCCTGTAATAAATTATGTCTACTGGGGACTAATTACAGTCTGCAGCCTGAAACATTCCAAGTCAGTAACGCGTAAATAGGCAGGCGAACGCAGTGCAGTGTTTGTTTTTATAGTTTGAAATCTGTTTGTCTTCTGCATTAGCAGATCGTCATTCAAATCCATCTACAGGTGGCCTATGTGGTGTCACTCCTCTCCTGTTGGTACCGACACGTTGTACTTCATTTAAATACAACATACATTTGGTTTTCAGGTGGTCCGTGTTTGGCAGAGTACAGCGATGGCAAGTACTACCGGGCCCGGCTGATGAAGTTCACCAGCATAGAGCCTCTCATGATCTTGGTCCAACATGTAGATTTCGGATCCGACGACTCTCTGCCAACCAGCAAGTATGAATTTTGCACGGTGCCATAACATTTCTTTTAAATGTTCCACTGAAATGCAACAAGTTTTCTGAGTCCAAGATAAAATTCTATGTGGTGCAACAACAATTTGATATGGACGACATAAACTGAGGGGAATCAAATATATCAGTCAAAATTGAAACAAGCCCTGTTCATTTACACATCCTTAAAGAGTTTTAAACTCATGTACCTAAATTTAAAACGTCTTAATTAAATTTTTTTAAAGTAGGTCCTAAATACATTCATGTTAGGTCTTGTGTTTTGTTGTAATCTTGTGTATTTGTAGACTTTTCTGTTTAAGTACAGATGTCTTGTAGCAAACGTAGAGCTAGCTAGCTTTTTTACGTCCATCATTGGTGAGTGCAAGGTTATCTCCAGTTGGTTAAATAATGTTTGCCTTAACCATCAGCTCTCTTCTGTTGCTAACCCGTCCATTTCTGTCTCGATTTAGGTCTTAAATTTTATGCGCAGTGGTCTTTAAAAGTCTTAAATTTCGGTTGAAACTGCAAAGCAAAACTCCAGTTTAACCAGCTGCTCTCTTCACATGTGAAGTCAGTGAAAAAATTTGGTGTGACACTGGATGCAAATGAATCTTGTGACATCACCTCATCGAAACAATGCCGCAGCAACTTTGTGCTGTAATTGAAGTTAAAGTCGGCCTTTTCTTTGGCCTGGCAGAAAATATCTTCCACATGAGATTCAGTGACCATTTTGAGTGGTGTGCAGATTTTTGAGGAAAGGTGGAACAAATTATTTGCCCTGAGGGAAACTCATTTCTAAATTCAAATGATCCAAGATCAATCTCGTCTTCCCGCCAGGCTGCGACAGATGCCGTCTGAGCTGCTGCTGTTTCCGACACGCGCAATAAAAGTCAAAGTCGCTGGCTTCAAGGCTCCGAGCGTGGAGCGGCGCGGAGACGTCCTGCCGTACTGCCCTGCGTGGAGCGTCAAGGCTGTGATGGAAATGACAGACTTGCTGCACAACAACATCACAGCGACTGTTGTTGTAAGTAACGTGGCGGCCTCTAACGAAGAGGAAGCAGAAATGTGTCAACTGCAATAAATCCAGGTAGTAGTTGTTCATTTTTCTTGGTTCAGTCACGAGAGCCAGAGCTCAAAGTTCAGCTGTACAACGAGGACAGAGAGCTGGTCCACCTGCCTCTGGTGAACAGCGGATTGGCTGAGCTCGACTAAAACTCACAGGTGAGCTTCCAGTTCTCAGCAATTAAAATGAACTCTTTAATGCTTTCATGAACAATGCATCTCTGTTTTCCAGGTGTTCTTGTTCCCATTGTTTTGGGCTTCAGATATCGTTTTATTAATACTGCTCTTACGTTTTACTTGTTGGGAGGAAAACATAAGTTGCATCAATCTGTTGTCTGTTGAGCAGTTATTTAATTCATGTTTGACTGTTGAGTTTTAACAGCCAATGTTTTTATGACCATTTGGGTTTTCTGGTTGTTTTTTCTGTTGAGCTACACATTAAAAGTTCCCAAGTGCCAACTTGATGCCTGCTGCGAGTTTTCTTTTAATACACATCAATGTTTTCATACTTGAGAAACATGAAAGTTCTTCAATAAAAAAATAAAATTTATTTAAAAAATGCTACATCCTTCTACAAAATAAATATTCAATGTTACACATATATAAAACAAAATCCATGTAAGTGTTAAACTTTTACCTAGTATTTTGTTGTAATGCTTTAAAGACGAGGAGGCACTCAATGAAACTAAGCAGCTCTCAGTTCCATCTTTTAAAACAGCAAATGCTGGTTCAGTGCGGCGAGTTATACCAGGTTGTCCAGCACGACGTTTCCATCTTTGTCCTTGACCCTAAGCCGCCCTGTGGGGTAGTGAGTTTCTTGCCTGCCGTCGGCGTAAACGGTCTTCACTGTGCCGTCTGGATACTCCCGCCTCTTGTATTCAGCCGTGTGTATTTCCTTCTGGCCTGTGTTGAAGTGGATCTCTTTGGTTCCGTCTCTAATGCAAACAGAACCGACAGCTTAGTGGAAATCTCCAGTGGTGGAACAAGATCACTATGATTGGGTGAGATTGTAACCAACAAACTGAACGGTTTCAGCTGGTTGCTCTTTAAGGACGGAGACACATAAGTTTTTTTTTTTTTTTAGTACTGAATTGAATGCTGAAAAAACATCGAGTTTAAAGTTTAAAAAATGTCAGACTATCTTTTACCTCAGTAGTTTGACAACAGTTTTTAACCACAATGTTTGAAGTATCATCAGTGAACTTACGGGTTGACCTGGATGATGGTCCCGTCTGTCAGCACGCTTTCCTCTCTGCCATCAAGAAACAGATTCTTCACCGTCTGATCTGGGAAGGTGATTTCTTTGCGGCCGTCTGGAAAATGTTTCTCTGGAATGAGAATAAATTTGGACAGTCTGCATAAAGAAAATAAGTTGTGGGTTTTTTAAAATGATTTTTGGTGCCAATTTATTGCTTATTACAACAAAAATGTTCTTTCTCATTTTCTAAGTTTTAATGAGACATAAATGAATAAATCTGATGACTGTCTGTGATGCACTTTGAGTTGCAATGACTTCAGATTACACAGGGTGTCCACTGAAAGTCTGAACTCATTTTGCTTTTGATCCAAATCAAGATTATAAAAGCTCCTAAAGGGCAGGTTGTGCCAGAATGTATTGACAAAACCTGTTCAGTTAAAATATCAATGAATTCTTAAAATTAATTATTGAACATCTTTCCAGTCCCTCCAGGATTTTACAATTGTTTTGTAATTTTTTTTTTCTTTTTTTGCAGTAGAAATAAGTGGTTGTGGTACTAATTTGGAAATAATTTGAAATTATAATAAAAATGTGAATGATCGGTCGCAGCCCTAGGAGGGAGAGACTCTGGCTGTCGACAGTGAAAAGACCCAGAAACCCAAAAGGCCGGTGCCATACAAAGCGAACCCCATGTGAGAAGAAAAGAGGAACGGATCTTCCCATGACGTCATGCTGTACGGCCTCTGATTGATCGTCTGATATGTCACAGGTGTGACTCAGTTGAGATTATTGCTCGAATGGAGCATGTGCGAAGGGAGAGCAAAAGAGGACAGTGGCTGACTTGGACCTTTCCCAAGCTAGATAAGATCGGTGGACGAGATCAGCTTCACATGTAACAAATCAGCTGACCGATAAATCGGTCCACTCCTACTTAGAGGGCTACATAAAAAGCATGTCTGCTCTCACCTGTCTGGTTGTTGGGAAAGTGTAGCACTTCCATACCGTCAGGATACGTGATGTGTGTGGTCTGAGCCTCAGCGTAGTAGTAGATCTGGTTGCAAGAAGCAGATAGGAGGCGATTAACACATCTGTTCACCCTATAGCAAACTTCACATTCGTTAACCTCTAAATATTTAAAATGGAATCCATCAGGGCTCCCTAAATGTCAGTCAGGTTTACTCAACGCGTTCAGAAACTCTCACCACTCTCTGATCGGCTGTGATTTGTTTCGTGTCTCCGTTGAAGAAGGTGACCTTGGCCGAAAGCCCGTCTGCTGAAACTTCTTTTCTCGTGCCGTTGGGAAAGACGATGACGCGATCGCCGCCGGCCAGAACCTTCTCCACCTGAAAGCGGCGCGGAGACGTTTCAGTAAATCTCACAGGACAAAGACGCACCCATTTAATCAACTGACTGTAATGGTTTATGTATCTTTAAACTGTCCCAGCAATTTCATAATCCGTCAGTACGTCTCGAAGCAACTAGAGAAGCAGTCAGTTACTTTATTGAATGTCCGTCTGCATACCTTTACCTCCTGTGATGTGGTTGAGGAGCCCTTCATCACCACATAAAGCTTTTACAGGGGATGCATGTTTGTTTGTTTTTTTGTCTAACATTTTCCATTTCAATCATGTTTTGCCTGGCAGGTTTTCTCACCTTGCCGTCAGGGTGTGTGATGATCTCCCCAGGCAGTTCTGGATCACGGGACTCGCAGCTTTCTGGTCGCTCTGGCTTGAGATCTATTCTCTGCAAACACACACACCAGAGGCTCGGGTGAAAAAATACAAAAATATCCTTAAGGTATTGCTGTATTGCTATATGTAACTTGGAGCGTTCAATAAACTTAAACATACAAAAAGGATTTTGATATCAGAGGTAAAGTTTTATCTGGATGTTCACTCTAACACATTAACAGCTCTAATGGCAGCTCTTACTGGAGAGTGTGAATGCTCTGGTTTCTGGTTGGATGCTCTTTCCTGGCTCCTGCTTGTGGGTCTTGGCTTTTCTTCCGTCTTTCTTCCAGAAAACGTCGAAGAGGACGACAGAGAACCCACCGACCTCCTCAGGCTGCTTTTCATCCCTGCTGACGACCGCAGAGCAGGAAGAACAACAAACATCATTTCGACTGCCGCCGTAAACGGCTTGAGGTTGTGTACTTTAAACATCGACGAGAGACGAACATGTTTCATCTGAGAATATGTTTGTGTCTGTGATTTCTAATTACCCTGAAGACTGTTTTTCTTCCTATTTGTTCATATTCCAGGATTTAAAAATGCTTTAATTTATACGTTTAAACCTCATAAAGACCTACTTTTTAATTGTGCATATTAACAACTTTTTCAAATGTCCCAGGGTTTTTACTTTGCACTCAAACGAAATTACTCCACCGTCCACCTTAAGCAATGTTACGCAAACGATGGGCTTTAACTTTGTAAAGCTTGTAGAATCCGATTAAAACTCTCCTACTGCAGAACACACACCTTCAAGTGAAGCTGAGTCATGCTAAGGACAGACTGAGAGCGATTGTGCCAACTGAAAATATACCGTTATCCAGCAGAGATGACACACACACACACACACACACACGACTAATAGAACCAGGGGGAGAGGATTTTGTCTAAAATATTGCTCAGCGCTTAAATCAAAGCGCTTTTTCACAGAAAGTCATGCAAACTCAACAGACTGCCACCGTTTTTCACGCCTTTGCATAATTGTGAGCTTATTTCAAATTTTCCACAAAAATGATCATCAAAAAAAATAAATAAATGGATTTTGGGTTTAGGTGATTGGTAACTCCCACCTGTAGGTGGCAGCATTCCTTTCTTCCACCCGGCTGCCCCAGCCTTTTTTGATGTCAAGTCAGCGTTGATATGGCGACGAGTACATTTACCATAAGTGACATGTACATAAGTGCTAATATTGCTAGTATTAATACATTAGCACCACAAAATCAATGATTTTTTTTTTTTTGAAAAAAAAAAAAAACAATTGTAAAATCCAAGCTGGACTGATCAAAGTGAAAATCTATTTATCATTTAACTTTAAACAGTACTTATTGAATAAGAGTGCTACCTGTTCATATTTTCACAGTCTAGGAAAAGTTTTATCAATACATTCTGGAACAAGCGGCTCCTTTGAGAACATTCATGATCTCAATGTGGCCCAAAATAAAAATGAGTTTGACTGTCCTGATCTGAGTTTGACAGATCAGGACAGTCTGAGTTTGACAGATCAGGACAGTACCTGGGATCCTGTCGCAGAACCTGGGATGTTAAATCTGCTGGAGTGTAAATATTTTCCAAGACTATAAACCCTCTGAAGCTCTTGTTTCTACCTGCGGCTGCTTGGCTGTTATCCTTCAGGCTCCTTCCTGCTGAGCTGAGCGGAGGGCTGGAGCTGCTTCCCCTAGAGTCCAGAGGAGTCTGAACAGGACGTGTCCACGTGAGTAAAGTATTTTCTCTGGCTTTTTGCAAAGATTAACAACATCAAAGTCAGAAATGGTCAAGCTTACCGCAAACGTCACTCCCTTAGCCACGCTGCTGTCCGAGGCTCTGGGTCCGTCCTTCGTTTGGACGCCTTTCTCTGCAGAGGCGGCGCTTTTCTTCCAGGCACTGAGGCGCAGCTTCTCCAGCGTTCGAATCTTAAGATCAGAAGTCAGAAAGCGCGCGGCCGTTGAATGAACCGATTACGGGATCTATCGAGACAAACCGGATGTCGGCTTTAAGCGCGAGGCGTGCACCTCGTCCCGCAGAGCGCCGTTCTCCTGGTGGAGGGAGTCGATCTGCTGCCGCAGGCGGCTGTGTGTGGAGGCCCAGCGGCTCTCCCTCCTCTTTAGCTCCTCCTGCTGGGAGCTCAGCTGCTGCTTCAGCAACTATTGGGAAAGGAGGAAACGTCACAGGAGGCGCGGTGGTGGGCATTTATCGTGAACGTTTTGGTTCATCGTTGTCATTATAAATTTCAATTAATGACTGTTAAAAAAAAAAGTTAAACCGACAGCACAGTGGGTGTTTTGCTGCTTTTCCACAAGAACACGAAGAAATAGTGAATTCAACAAAAATGAATGGGAATGTTTTTCAAGAACAATATTTGTTTGTGGCTCTATGAACGCTCTAAAAGAAGTAATAGTTTCATTGTTACCACAATAATCCCACAAGTTTATTTAGTGAAATATTTAGGAGTAAAGACACAAAAGCATTTAAATGCAGGACATGAACCTGGATTTCCTCCCGTTCCTTTTTGTCAGGGATGGCTCTGGCCGCCGACATGTGCTTCTCAAACAGTTTGCGCTCTTTCTGCAGTTTCCTGTTCTCCTCCCTCTTGTGCTCCTCGAAATTGGCCAGCTCTTCGGCTTTTGTTTGCTCGAACATCAAACGCTCTTTCCTGCAACATACAGAGGCAACTCTTGAAGAAACCAGAGGACGAAACGATTCTTCTCCAAAAAAACAAACAAACAAAAAAACAACAAATGTTATTTTGCCTTTTCTTTAAAAGCCTTTGAAAGTCTTACTTCCTTCCAGCCTCACCTGAGGTCTTCCTGTCTTCTCTCGTTCTCCTGCCTGAGCTTGGTCAGTGCAGCGTTCTCTTTCTTGAACCTCTCTATCTCCATCTCCAGCTCAGCCAGCCTCTCTCTGAGCTGTCTGGATTGGACCTGCTGGGCTGCAGATAAAAACAAGCGCACACAGAAAAATAAAAATCAAAAAACACATCACAGAAATTCATTAGCTTTTGCCTAAACTGAGTTCTGGAAAAGTTCAATCACAGAATCTTAAGGGGGCAGTACTATGTGTTTTCCAGCACAATCAAGAAATTGTTACCTTCAGTCGTTGTATATGTGAAATTTTACTTTGTAATTTATTGCCTTGAAATTGGGTCTCTGTCTCTTTAAAAATCTTCTGCTCTTTCTTAAACTCCGCCTTCAGGAAGTCATCACATATCTCCTCTATTAACCCTTTGATGATGTTTATACACTGAGGAGCAGCGTCTATGATGAGCTCAGCAGACTCGCACTTCCTCCAGCTGTTTGCTGTTGGCTAGTGTGAAGGATCAAAGCAACACTCCCGTATGTTTTGATAAGGGAGTAACATTACAACATGAAGTACAGCTAAAAAAAATGTTGATCTCACATAATGCTGCCCCTTTAAGGATGGAAGTGTTGTCTGACCTGTCTCGTCCTGTTTCCTGTTCTCAGATGCAGCAGGTGGAGCAGGTGGAGCAGGTGGAGGTGCGCTCTGAGCTTTGGGCTTTAACGAGGGGAACAGTCTGGTCATGAGTTGGGAAGCTGGTGCGAGTTCGGTCTCCGGGCCTTCATCCAGCTCCACAGCTCTGCTCACCGCTACTTTCCTCAGCATCGCCTTCTCCTGTGGGGAAACTGTGCCGGCTGTCGGCTTGGGAACCGGACTGATCCCCCGACTGTCGCTTTCCTCTGTGACGGCCGTATCGTCCAGGTCATTCCAAGTGTCGTCATCGTCAAATATGACCTCCCTCTGCCCGTCGCGTCCGTCCTCAATCAGAGTGGAACCGTCGGCGTTGCTGGCGACGCTGTCGCTCTCCTCGCCTTCATCGTCTTCCTCCACTTCGTCTCCGGGACTCTCCTCGTCCTGGTAAGACCTCTTGTCATAAGCGGGGTTAGAAGGTGCTGAAAAACAAACAGTGATTTCTTTGCCTCCAAAATCAGAAATCTTGTCGTTGTGCGGCTCCTCAGATTCAAGTCCTCGCTCGGTTACTTCAGTCTCGAGCGCATTGCCTCTCATGTTCCCCTCAGATGCTACTGACTCCAGAGAAATCCCGTCACGCTCCGACCCGTCGGTGAACCGGACACCGCCGCCCTTCTGAGGTTCGCTTCCTGATGCCGACTTGATTGGGGTGGAGGAGAGTCGCCTCTGGTGGTGGAGCCCAATGGCAGAGTGCCTTTTCTGCTGGTCCAAGCAAAGAACCTGCAGAGCAAATGAAAAAAAAAATCTAGTTGGGTAATTAAGAACAGAGTCACTTCAATTCACTTTGGATGGTTTTGATCACAGTGGAAGTGAAGTTTTCTCCTTAGGTTAGAGCTTAGTTAAGGTTTTACCGTCAGATTTTGATACTGGACATGAATTCCTCACCTTCATGACGAAGGAGGAGTTGGATGAGAAGGACAGCTCCTCGGCCGCTTGCTCCAGCAGCTCAAACTCTCCCAGCTCCATGCTCTCCAGCTGCCGGTTGCACTCCCACCGCTGCAGCTTCTCCTGGAACGACAGCTCGAAGGAATCCTGAGGAAGTCTGCCTCCACCTCCCGCTCCGGCCGACTGCGCTTTAGAAACACAATTCTTCTCTTTCCCGGCATCGCCTGACAACCCCACCTGTTTGATCACAGGATTCGGCTGCAGATTGGGACCGGTGTTCCTCACGACCTGGACTGGGACACCTGTACTATATTCCTTCTCCGGCCCCAGCAGATGCTTTACCGGTCTGGGTTCCGGTGCACTCTGACTGGTAGCAGGTCTGGTGTTCTGTCTCTGATGACTCCCCAGGACCCTGGTTGTCCGCGCGGCCCCGCCCTCAGCCTTGACGTCCTGCAGCGGCGAACGCAGCCCCCTTCCTCGGTTCTCCTTGTTGAGTATGGCGGTTTTGCGTTGGACGGGAAGTGGCGGGCCGGTGCTGGAGCTGCCCTTCAGGATGGATCCGGGCGCAGAGTTGCTGCGGATGATGGCCTGTGGTTTCTGCTCTTTCTTGTCCTTGGCTTTCTGCCATGAAGAAGCCTTGGAGCTGCTGGTGAATCTGGAGAGGCCCTGGCCTCGTTTCAGAAAGGGCCGCTTGGGAGGAAACGCGGTTTCAGGCCTGGCTGGCTTCTGATCAGATCGGAATACAAAAGGTTGAAGGAATGTAAAAAACATCTGCAACAACTCTAAAGCCTAAAATATCAGCACTTGAATAAAATGAAAAAAACTACAAACATGGTTCCAGGTCAAAATTCAGATTTTACTCAATTCAAATTACTGATTTTTAAGGCTTTGTTCAGACATAAATACAAAAATTATAAATATATATAAATATTTTTTTATCTTATGTATTTTTATTTTATGTTCTTGGGCATTATTTTATATTTTGTACATGTATTTACTTATTTTAAGAATTATTTGTTATATTGAAATATAATAAAAAACATGTTAATTTTAAATTATTTTTATTCTTTTGAATAAATGGGTAGGTTTTTTAATCCTGCATTAAAAACATTCTATTTTTCTAAAGTTTAATACTTCATATTGACAGATGTAAAACGAAATAAACTAAGACCTGGAAACTACTTAAACATCCATTTGCATCGTAAACTTCAGATGTTTATTCTCTTACAGGCTGTTGCCGGGCAGACTTCAACCTCTGCTCCTCCAGCCTCAGCTGCTCCTCCAGAAGCTCCTCAAAGGTTTTCTTCTGCCCCCCAATACCTGGTTTTATGGGTCTGGAGAAAAGCCATGAAGGGCAAACAGTTGGATAATCATTAGAAATTCTGCTCATTTGAAAGAACAAGTATAATAGAGACATGTTGAAATGTATTTGCTGCCTGTTTAATTGAGGAGATATTGACATTTTTTTAACATTGATTCAAATATAAGATGTGTTTACCTGTCATGCAAGTCATTTTCCTGTTGCCTGCTGTTGGTGTCCGGCTGCATGAATGCATCGTCTGACTCTAAACTCGGCTTCGGATTCTCTTTGTCGGAGTCCCACATGCCTGCAGGAATTACGAAGAGTAAAATTGTCTGACATACATAATTTACAAAAATTCATCTCAAAGTGACATGAAGAAGATTTTTAAAAATTATTTTCTGTCTAAAACCAAATATATTTTACCCTCATCGTCTTCATGCTCCTGCTGGTCATGGAGCTGCAGCTCCGGCCGCAGGCCGCAGTTCCTGTCAGGGCTGCGTTGGACTGTGTCTTTTCTCCATTGAGCTCCTGGCAGCCCTGGATTTTCTATGGATCATAAAATAGAGTATGCATATTTTTTATTTACAGTAAAAAAAAAATAATAAAAAAGATTCATCAAAGCAATTTAAGAAGCTTCTTTTTCTAACCTTCGGTGCAGATCCGAGGTGCGTCCCCGATCCCGAGCACTCTGTGCTGCTGCTCCTCCAAACACAGCAGCTCCTCCAGCTGGTGGGCTTTCAGCTGCTCGTGCATGTGCTGCTGCCATTTTCTCAGCTGCAGGAATGCACGCATAATTACACAGACAGCACAACTCACATGAGACCAGGCATCATGGGAAAAGTAAGATTTTAAAATGTTCTCCGCCATCTAATTTCTACAGCTAAAATTCCTTTTCATGAGATGCGACAGAAAACATCAGCTTATCAAAATGTTCTCATTCGTTCTGGTGCATAGAAAATGTAGCGCTGCCCCTCCTCCACCTATTGCTGTCTTAAAAAAAAACATACTATACTTTCCCAATGATGAAGAGAAAGACAAAACTGGCTGTTTGGGGTAGTCCTGTAAAAGAAAGGAGCGATACTTTTATTAAAATAACGCCACCTTACAACAATAAGTAACTTATAAATCACAATACAGCTGTTATGGAGAAGGGCAAACCGATATGAAAATTTTGGCCGATATCAATATTGCTGCGATGGCCAATAATCGATATTATTTATATTTCCACACACTTCCAATATTGCATAAACCTGACCACACCTTGCGTATTACTTCTCTCGACAATTCGCTGCCACATGACAGCGGATTATGGTATCGGACCCATAGTTCTATCTATGGGTCCGATACGTTTTGAAAAAAATAAATAAAAAAAATAGACTAAACTCGACTTATACCGATGTATCGGTATCAGATACTTTTGCTAAAAATATGGCATTTTCGCAAAAGTAGAAATGGCTGCTTTCCTGTTTGAAACGAAAGCGGAGCGATCATGACGCCGTCTCGTGTCTCCCAAGAGGTTTTGTCCAGTTGGTTTCGAGGGAACTCAACAAGACATGTTTGATCACAGGCTCACCACTAAATCCAGCTCGTGTTAAGAGAATTTACTTACTTCAACACCTCCTTTGCAGTTTAAGCCCTGGTCAACATGAAGAGCTTTTTAAGGGAGAGATGCCTAAAATAGCAGGGGATGTGGTATTAATAACCCTTTGGTTCTCAGGCTGTTCTTATCATTTCACCATTCTCATCTGCCTGGAAGCACAGATGCTCCTCCATACAGATCTTCCTGTAGACTTTACTTATTTTATCCAGTTAATTAACTTGAGTCAGTAAAATCGCTACAACAAAATGTCACTGTGTTTATTTTTTTATTTTACCTTTAGGAACAAAAAGAATCACATTTTAAATAAGCTTTTGTTTCCACTTGACAATTTCCATAAACCTCCAGTCTTGCGCTTTCTTCAAAGCTCTGTATCTGTGCATCAAACGCCCATGTGTGCACACAGGGGTAATCCCAGATTGATTAGATTTTCCTAATCCTACTCTCTCTTTTTTTGCAAGCGTAATTAATGGCTGCAACTATTTAAAATTTCTCTGTATTTAAGTGAGAGAAAATCCACACTGAATTTGTCGAGTAAGAATCCATCCACTAGAACGTTTTATGTGTTTCTAATGTACTCTATATTCAAAGATGAATCTTCATGTTTAATCCTAATCTGATACGAGATTCCACCTCCACCTAAACCACACAGCTAGTAATATGCGGTATCAGATTTACGATCTCACCTCTTCCAGCTTCATCATCAGAGGTAGATCTCGGGTTTTGCTCATTATCTCCCCCAAATTCTCGACGTGTCCGTCTGAGACTCCCTGTGGCGCAGGCCGCAGGTAGCTGACCGGCTCGGTTCCCTCTCCCCATCCGTCCGCACCGAGGCAGCTGCTGTCCGTGGAGGCAGGCAGCGGAGCGAAATCGGAGACGAAGGAATCATCCGGACGCAGGGGAGCGGGCACCGCGGCGGCGTTGTGCCGCAACGACCCCGCTAGCTCCGGGGTTGGACTGAGGATCACCCCGGCTCTGGTGCTGCTCGGCATCCACTTGGTCAGGAAGTCCGCCGAGCAGTACTGAAGCTCGGACGGTGATGACATGCCGAAACCAGGATGCTTCAACAAGCGTTCGCTAATCCGGGATTTGACAAACAGATTACGGTGACAGGTTAGGGGTTAATTTAATAATGAATGCACACGACGTCTAACACACTGGCTGCGAATCCAAGTTCCAGATAAAACGAGTCGGCACATTCATTTCTGTATAAAAGTCGTGGAATGAATAAAAGTTAGTTCAACTCATATCGCATACAAGGCAGTAGGGCATAACATGAACGTGACGGGAACAATTGATGTCGGTGCTGGAAGCGAATAGCGAACATTTTAGTGAAATGACGTAGCAGTTAAAAGGCCTGTTTACACCTGCTGGTATCATGTCTGACTTCACGCGCAACGTTTTTAACGGTTATTACTAAAATGTCCAAACACGCACATTTACGGCACCTTTAGCCAGCCCAAGAACACTTGCAATTACCTGTTATAAGCAAGATGAACGTCTTGCATGTGAAAAAGAATATGTAATACGTATGAAGCAAACAAAGATTTCGAATCCTGCCGCCATTATCAAAACAAAGCCCGCGAGAGCGAACGACTGTTGGTGCATTGTGGGTAATGTAGTTCAAGTGTCTTAAAAATGCGTTTGGGCAGGTTTTAATCCCTTTTGAAAAATATATTTATATGTACAAAAATATTTTCTAGTATGTTGAGTTATTTTGAAACACTTCAACAACAGAAATTTTACGAAACATGTTTTTCTGGAAGTTTAATAAGGTTAACATGTCCGGTTTCATCAACGGTCCACATTTGCACATTTCAAAATAATGGCTTTTATACAGATATTATTTAATTAACGGTTGCACTTACACACGTGTGTTTATTTGCTAGAATTTACATCATTAAATAAAATATTTCAGGCGTTTTAGTAGCCAACAAAACACAAAGTAAATGTTAAACTCGCATGTGAGCTTTTATGTCTAAATGTCCAAACCGGAAGTGAAATGTGAGTGGCGTGATTGGTCTATCCAAAAATACCAAACTTCCGAGACGTTGTCACTCTACGAAGTGAACTGAAGGATTTCAGAGACAATGGAAAGAGTGAAATGTGATTTACACGGTGAGCTATTATTAATAAGACACTTGTGACAAGTTGTCATGCAACAAAAACTTATTTTATACTTATCTTGCTAACTTATTCTCCGTTTTCGGTAACGGTTGTAAGATTAGCTAAACAACGCTGTCTGTGTCCTCGCGCAGGTAGTGTGTGTATGCTGAAAACCGGCGTGAAAGAGGGACCAAATAAAGGCAAGAGCTTCTATATTTGCGTTGACAAGCAGGGCTGTAATTTCACCCAACAGGCCAGGTATGTCAGCAAATTCACCAGCGAGCTCTTGTGATGAAGAAAGTATCCAGCGTTTTAAAGTCTTAAATGTGTTCTTATTCTGTTAACAATTCGTTATAATAACAGTACAGGTACTGTAAAAAAATAAAGTACACTCTTTGGTTTTTAATTACATTTGTTTTAATTACAAAAAGGCCTAGTTTATCAAAAACCTGCCTCCATTACCATGATTGTATTTTTTTGTATTATCTGTTGTAATATTGTCTGGGGTTTTTTAAGCCCATTGAACTGCATTAAGTTTTGTAAAATTGTTTTTCGATTGAGATTTAAACATTTAAAAATTGTCACGTTTAAACTAACTTGTCACATTCAGCTGTCAATCTAAATCCTCCACATCTCCTTCTCCAGTGTCCCTCCATCCCACTGTCTGCATCATGAAGAGTCAGTGGTGGAGCTGCAGGCGCTCAGCTACAGCCAACAGCAGCAGAGCCACCGGTGAGGATGCAGAAGGATTTGAGTTAGAAAAATAACAATTAGTTATTGATTATTATTTTTCGTAATTCTTTAAATTGGCATTATGTACATTGTACCTGTTCCTCATTTGCTCCAGGCTCTACTACAGATGTGCTGTCGGGAAAAGAGAAGGTCAGAGATGGTGTGGAAACGTGCCCTGGACTGCTGTAAGGCTCACTGTGTCGACATTCGCTTCCTCAAAACTCCTAGAATGCATAAACGTTTAATGTTGTTGCAATCATATTTATTTAAGTATATATTTTATGAATAATTGCAGCAAGAAAAAGAAAGGAGAACCCCTCTGACTGACTCCCAGCTGCAGCCATCGTGCCTCCCACGTGTCAGAAATCCCTTTAAGGCACCCGACAAGACGGACAAAACTTCGGAGCGGAAAGGCATGCTGAGCGGTGGGTGTGAAGAGAAAGAAGGGGAGAAGAAAACTCAGAAAGCAAGTTATAACGCAGAAGAAAGACAACATTCCCAGAAGGAAAATATGGAGGCTTTAGCCACAGGAGTGGAAGTGCGAGAGGAAAGAAAGGTGAGCGCACCTGAAACGTATCGAGGTAAGCTGCTCCCAGCAGGAATGAAGGTAAAGAAGAGGATTTCAAGCGAGGAAAGCAGCAAGTCCAAAGCTGATGGCGTTGATAGAACAGCAGCTGGGACGCAAGACAAGGCTGGGAAAAGTTCTGGAGAGGAGGGAGAGTCAGGAAAAACCAGTCCAGTTTGCCCCGACGCACACAAAAACATACCACAGGAAGCAACTAATAGTCAAACCCCTTCCTCGAGTCAAAATGAGCCCACAGCGGAGAAGAGTGTTGCTAAATCTGTCCCCGGCAGAAGCAGCCAGTCTTCCAGAGGAGGGAATTGTACCGTTTCAGCGGATATTGCAACAGAGACCCATCAAGAAGAGCAGGATGACGACGTAGTTTTGGTTTCAGTGAAACCGGCGGCTCGCCAAACTCCCCCGGCTCTTTCTGCAGTCCAAAAGACGATCACCAGCTTTCCTGGGTTTCAGTCGGCCGCCCCGGTGGGCGACCCAAAGGGGACGCACTGTCTGCTCAGTGCCCAGCTTCAACAGAAGAAGGTTGGTGGTTCCACTAAACAAAGGCTCTGCTGCAATTTGATGCAAACGTTAACAATTAATTTATTTGATATTGTAAAGGATTAGTGCAGCATTGCACTGTAAAAAGACAAACAAAAAAACTTTCAAGTGTGGATGAAAACAAGTATGTGATTTCTATGGTTTAAAATATGCTTTGACACCAAACACATTCATCTAATTGGCAATTTTCCATGACAACCATCTGGAAAAGAAATTTCCAGATTAATAGTTCCACATGGAAATCTGCATGTGGAAGATTTTTCTGGAATATTCAGTTTCCTTGTGCGCTATAGTTGGTTTTTACCGGCATAAAGATATTTAAAATGCACAAGCTATGAAAATAAAGTTCAACAGGAAAACAGTGGCATATCATTCAAAAAAAATTTTTTAAGTTTTTGCCCCATATTTGTGTGTTTCCGTGTTCTCCTGAGTAGGCCACTCTGTCTTCGGTGAACGTGGAGGCTCTGCCAGATAAAGGAGAGAGGCTGAGGTTACAGGTTAAAGAGCTGGAGGACGCGCTGGAGTCTCTGAGCCTCGCTGCTGCTTCTCAGCCCGGTGAGTCATATCTCCGCCCCCTCACCCTTCTAAACACAGTATTGCAAATCTTCGCTGCGGAGCCGGTGTAAAGGAAATCATGTCGTCAGTTGTTGGCAAGCAATGCTAATCCACCGCACTAGCTTTTGCCACTTCTTTTTTTAAATCGCTACCTGGCCATGTGGTTACAAAACAATCGTTTCGAAGAGTTCATCTGAAATCTGTTGAATCTGTTTTTTGTCGTCTCACTGCTAACGTGACGGTCAAACCTCTTCCAGAACCTGTGGAGGAGTCCAGGAGCTCTGCTCAACCTGTTGCCAACCCATTCAGCAGGCCGGGCGGAACCGTCCTACTCCCCTCCGCTCCAGTACCAGGGCTGGTCCGGCACCAAGCCTCTGGGAGCTCTACGGGGATTCAACTGAGCCAGGGAAACGCTCAAACCTTTGGAGGTGAGCCATACTTAGAATCTTGTGTGGGGAGTGTGAGTGTTGACTAATAAGTGTTTATTAGTACTTATTAGTAATAAGTGTTTATTAGTACTTTTCTTCTTCTTCCTTTTTCCCAGCAGATCTTCAAATGCACCCTTATTATGGGGGCAGGATGACGAATGACCGCCTGCTGGCAGTGAAGAACGCCACCTGCGAGGCCATCGACCATCTTCATAAATCTCTGGAGTCGTGTCCAGATCCCGAGGATGAAGCTTCAGACCCCAGAGGCATCAAGGTTCCCCTCTCCTTTACTCTTTTCTGCCGAGTCAACTGCAAAATCTGGTGTTCTGCTTCATTCTAAACTCTTTAAAGCTGTAATTTTCAATAATAGACAGTTTGTGCTGCTCTCCTTTACTGTGTCAATGACGTTGAATTTCTTTGTTTGGCCGGTCAGGTGCCGCTCCTGGCCCATCAGAGGAGAGCTTTAGCCTGGCTGCTCTGGAGAGAAGCTCAGAATCCATGTGGAGGAATTCTGGGTAACTTTTATTCATCTGTGTATTCTCGACTGTTAGCGACACTATAAAAACATTACAGATTTTAAAGTGGGCACAAATTAAAGACAAATCAGGGTTTTTTTACTGGCCGATACCAAATGTTTCCCAATACTTAGTGGTTCTGATTTGATTTTTAATCTTGAACGCAGGTGAAAGAGAAAAAAAGTGCATTTAGAGGAGTTTCATATTTTCCATGTTTATACAGCAAAACATTTATCTCTAACCTTTTATCATTATTACTTTTGTGTGGCTACAGCGGACGACATGGGCTTGGGGAAAACTCTGACCATGATCGCACTCATGCTGACAAAAAAGATGGAGGCCAAAAAAGAAGAGAAGAAGTTGGACTCCTGGATCTCTAAAAGCGGTGATCCTTATTTGTTATCAGTCAGTCCTTCGTTTTCGAAGAAATCCAGCTGGGTGATTGTGACCATTTCCAAACCGTTCACAATTAGATTACACGTCGTTTATCTGGTTTGTGTTTACTGCTTGTTTCGCTGTCCAGATTCCAGCATTGTGTCTTCTAAAGGCACTCTCGTCATCTGTCCTGCTTCCCTCATTCACCACTGGAAGAAGGAGATTGAGCGGCATGTCAAGACAGGCAGGATGTCTGTGTATCTGTACCACGGTTCCAGCCGGGAGAGAAGCGCCAGAGCGTAAGAACCAACACAGCAATGACTTATACTTATTTGCTTTGCTAATTCTTTCAGACAAATTTGTGTTAGCAGGCGCAATGAAAAGAGGACAGATTTTACATATGATTATTTAAAGCACAAGAAACTAAAGTCGAAGATTGTTTTGTATCTGGGGCTGCAATAAACAACTATTTCAGTAAATTATGACGCTATCATTTATTGTGACAACTAATTGATTAATTTTATGCCATGATAATTTTTTTTTTTTTTAGGATTTACCCTTTTTTAATCAGATAAAACAATTGTCACGTTCTGCAGATTTTTCATTAAACTTGGCACATATTTACAACCATCTTTTTTTTCACAAGTTCAAAATGAATATATTTTTGTACAGCTTTGGAGTGTGGTGTTCTTTTCGCAAACTGCCTTTTTTGAGTCAGAATAGTTCGTAGATCACTATATTGAGGATTATTTCGATA